GATGTCATATTAAATTATGTCATATTATATGGCAGCTGAAATGAAAGAGATGGATGGATGGACAAGCTAAAACTTTCTGACTTTGCCTGATATAAACTAAGATTGTACTTAGTGTTTGCTTTGTTTGGATCGAATATATACAACCAATCAGCTGGACACAAAATCAGAATCTTAACGGAAAGGTTAATGGGAAATGGGAAGCCTCAAACACAGATGTCCTCAGACCAGGTATTTCATCTGGTGTAGTTCTTCTAAAGAGCTAAACGGAATTTAACACAACTGCTATGTACCCGTTCTTCCACTGGGCTGTGCTTGAACAAAATACTTTATGTTCTTCCAAAAATAGATTCACAGGAATTCTTATATCCTGGTGGTCATTCTTTGTAACTATGAAGTTTCCATAAAGAAAGCATGAAGTCACCCCTCCAAGCACCTATCATATTACAAAAAAAGAGTCTAGGGCACCTGGGTGGCTCAGATCATGACCCCGGGGTTTTGAGATCGAGTCCTGCATTGGGCTCCCCATGGGGAGCCTGCTTCTCCCTCTGCCTATGTCTCTGCCTCTCTCTCTGTGTCTTTCATGAATAAAAAAATCTTTAAAACAAAACAAAACAGGGATCCCTGGGTGGCGCAGCGGTTTGGCGCCTGCCTTTGGCCCAGGGCACGATCCTGGAGACCCGGGATCGAGTCCCACATCGGGCTCCTGGTGCATGGAGCCTGCTTCTCCCTCTGCCTGTGTCTCTGCCTCTCTCTCTCTCTCTCTGTGACTATCATAAATAAATAAATAAATAAAAATTTAAACAAACAAAACAAAACAAAAACATAAAAGGAGTCTTATGTGCAATGAAGAATATTTGGAATCAAATATGATATTCTGAAATAAGGACATCACTTCACACTTTGTGAAAAAAGCCTAAGAGGAGATATTGAAAGTGTGGAGAAAAATCAGAAAATTAAAAACACAGAAGGGTGGATGAGCAAACAGAAAGTGTGAAGATTTTTGTCTTGTTATTTTAGCAGGAAATATCTACTAAAATGCTTGTGAAGTCTATAAACTTGTAAAATATATTTTTTTATACTTTTAAAATGGGAACAGTATTTTATCAACTGTGCACCATACAAGGCCATGTGGGTCAAAATCATTCAAAATAAAGAGTAAAGAGTAATGGCAATGTGAGCTATTACTGTCTCTATGAGAAATATAATTCATATTTTCAAATTCTAGTGCTGAATTTTTTACTTGTATTCACTTAAGGGTTTTAAGGCAAAATTCTTATATGCTGCTTTTGTGTAGTGTTTTTCTGTTAAATCTATACAATTCTATTTCATCCCAAAGTGAATTCCTTACATTCATGTCTATTGAACCTAGCTTCCAACATGTCAAAGTAATTTTGAATTGTATTAGTACCTTTTAATATATTATCAAGTTGGGCTGCCTGTTTGGTGGTGCAGTGGGTTAAGCATCCTACTCTTGTTTTCAGCTCAGGTCATGATTTCAGTGTCGTAAGATTGAGCCCCACATCGAGCTCTGCACTCAGCACAGGGGCTGCTAAGACTTTCCCTCATCCTCTGTCCCTTTGGCCCTCCTCATGCACGTGCTTTCTCTCTAAAATAAATAAATAAAGCTTTAAAAATAAAATAATCAGTCCATGATATTAAATTCTGACTGCAATAATCTTCCAAGATTACCCAAAATTTTATATATATATATATATATATATATATATATATATATATATATCACCTTAGTACTAAAATGGGGTTTATATAAATATCTTGTTAAAAAAACTTCATGTAGTTGAGATATATTCCAGCTATTGTTTTTCTCTCAATTATTTAACTTCTACTATAGCATGGAAATAAATTACATTAGTCAGTCCTGATTAAAAATCACAAATCTTACCCATATGTTTCAGTGATTACGAAATTATTTTCTGGTTGTTTGTTTAATTAAAGGCTAATTGTTTAATTGTTCAATTAATAGCTAATTGTTTAATTAGCTATTTTTAAAACAAATAAAAGTTGACAAGTTTGACATATCAGGTATCTTTGCTCTATTTTTATTAATCTGTAGATTTCAAAAGTATAATATGGTTCTTTATGCTTTTGTGAAGTTTGTCTTTTCTGTTCGGATTTATTCTCTTTTTGTCTTAAATTCTACTCTAACCATATATACAGAATGGAATGTTACTCATCCATAAAAAATAATGAAATCTTGCCATTTATCACAACATGGATGAACCTACAAGGTATTATGCTAAGTGACGTAGCATTTGTCAGAGAAGGACAAATACCATACAAGTTCACTTATACATGGAATCTCAAAAACAAAATGAACAAAACAAGACAGAAACAGTCTCATAGATATAAGAAACAAATCATTGATTACCAGATGTGAGGAAAAGGGTTAGGGTCTGGGCAAAATAGGTGAAGAGGATTAAGAGGTACAAACTTCCTGTTATAAAATAAGTCATGGGGATGTAGTGTACGATATAGGGGATATGGTCAATGATATTGTAATAACTTTGTATACAGACAGATAGTAATTAGACTTATCAGGGGTCATTTCATAATGTATAAAAATATTGAATCACCATGATGTATATGTGGAAATAGTTAAGATAAGATATTGTGTGTCATTATACTTCAATAAAATGAAATAATAATTCTGGTGATTGCATTTAATTGACTTTTTATGCAAACCCTCCCTTGATTATACATACTTGTCATTAAAAATTAGTAAAAAAAAGATACAATAACAAATATTCAGCATCCATGACATAAAAGTAAAATGTTGAAAAAAGGTATGTTTTCTAAAATTTTTTCTTTCCACCATCATTATCTGTGACATGAACTGGCTGGTGCTACACTGACTAAATGGTACAGGATGATAAAAAAGGGATACCTGGAATGAGGGGAAAGTAGAAAGGAAACTCTAAAGTAGATATGTCCAGGGGTCAAAGACTAAAATGCTCATTAAATGATTTAGGTGGAAACTTGAATTATTTTTCATTCATATGTGTATATTCCACATGCATTTCATCTAGGGGAAATTTTTTTTGAACTTAACTTCCTTAATAAAAAAATGTGCAAATTTGTAATATGTCTGTTCCTCATTTTTAAAAATATTTCTGTTTTAGATTGGCAAAGGAATAAGAATAGCATTATTAAATGATTACATTACTCGATGGCATCAAATCATTTCAATTTAGATTGTGATGTAAACATCCATTCTAATCACAATCAGATCATGCCAAAGAAACCTAGAGTTTCTTTGATATAAGTTAGTGTTTAGGTAAATTTACAGGAAGGTCATTCAAAATTAATCCATTTTTTAAATAATACAATGCTGGAACCCTTTGCTATTTCCTGGACGTTTAACATTACATGTAAGCATTCTCTTGCAGTGCAAAATATTCTAATTTACATATCACACCAGAATAGCATAAAAGTTGTATATAGTAGCATCAAAAGAACTACTATCATAAGTGATGATAAAGCTTTAGATATGATAATACATTTCTAAGGTGAAACATAAATTTAATAATACGCTTGAAGCCATGTTGCTCTAAAATACTTTTATAAAAAATCAAGTATGCCTATGGGCTGAGAAAAAAAAATCATGTTGTGCTCTTGTGTTTCATTAAACAGCAATTTTGTTTAATTTAAAATTAATTGCAAACTTAGAAAAATATGACTTAAGGGTATGTTTTTTATACATTGCTACACTGACTAATGAGGACTCTCCATGTGCCCTTCATTTCTCTGAATGATTCCTCTGTCAGCTTTCCCCTTTGCTGACTTTCCCATAACTCTCCCAGCTCTACCACATGTCTTACAAGTTCACCAAAAGTCTCTTTCTTTTCAATAAGAGTTGGGACTTTTTACCACTAAGTCAATAGTTCCTGCAGATCTTCTCCACAGGTAAATGTAGAAGAAACAGGTTCTGTTTCTTATATTCAATATAGTAGGCATATTTCATGGTTTCACTGGTTCACTTATGTTTGTCTTAACAACAAGGAATGTTAGGGATGCCTGGGTGGCTCAGCGGTTGAGCATCTGCCTTTGGCTCAGAGCGTGATCCTGGGAGACCTGGGATGAGTTCCACATTGGGCTCCCTGCATGGAGCCTGATTCTCCCTCTGCCTGTGTCTCTGCCTCTGTGTGTGTGTGTGTGTCTTTCATGATTAAATAAATAAAATCTTTTTAAAAAACCAACCAAACAAGGAATATTAGATAATCCTGAGTATGATACCATGCCCATAGGATGTACTGGCATTAACTAGAAAACTAATTATATTCCATTGGACTTTGCATATTTACTTTTGTTTTAGGGGACATAACTTGGTATACAGCATATCAGAATCCACATTACTTTGGGCCTCATATAATGAGAAGGCTGGAGGTGCACTATGATGCATTATTATAGAGCTTGGTTTAGGAGATCAGATTTCTAATGCTGGCTCTGTTGCAAATTACGATGACTGAAAGGCTTCTTGACTATTCCAGTCTTGTTTATCTATAAGATGAGGGTATTGGACTACAGTTTATCTCTAAGTTCCTCCTAGCTATAAAATATGTTTGGAGTTTTATTATATCCAAATAACAGAATGGCAAGCTATCACTGAGAAAGTTTAACTATTTTTATCTTAAATCTTCGGTTTCCATAGCTATTCCTTCTAAGATTCACCTTGGGATATTTATAAAATGCAGCTATGCAGATTTTCCACTACAGGCTTGTGGAATCAGAATAACATATGCATTTTAAAAAGCCTTCATGGTGTTTCTGACATAGCTACTCTTGGCTTCGTTGTTTCATAGTCCAACATAGAATTTTATGATAGAAAATAGTCCTTTTTCCTTTGCTCAAAAATATACAAGGGCATATGAAAGTCACAGTTTTAAAAGCCTGAAAAATAAGTAATATATTACTTTGTTGCAAATAACTGAATATGCAATAGGCAGATCAATGTGTTTTCACATTTCATTATACAATATTACCTTTTTCCTTTAGGGAACCTGGAACTTTCACTTCTTTTCCCTTAATAGGCTCTGGAAAGAAACATTGAGCATTTATTTGAAGCCAAGATAAAAGGATTTGAGAACACATATATAATGGAGTTGTTGAGCTATCAGTAAGTTGAACCTAGGTGGAAATTATATGATGTTTTCTTTCAAAAATAATTTTAATCATACAGAGACAAGGAAACAACAGTATAGAGTACAACAAGCCATCCTCTGACCATTTTTATTTAAAATAAATGTAAATCATTGAATGAATTACAATCTATTTGTTCATTTAAGAGAATAAGCTTTTGGAGCGATACGAACTTATTTTAGCTGTAATTTTTTAAAACATGTAGCTTCTAGAAGTCTCCCTAAATGGTATAATCAGCATTAGCTTAGTTTATTTCTTTCAGGCTATGTGATTTTTTTTTTAATAGACAAATGGAAATCCCTGCATCTGTCATGGTAAAGTGGTACTTTAGTCTCGAGTCAAACAAATTTCAAGAATAAGCCTGAAATAAAATAGAAGAGACAATTTTATCTATAAACTCCCACATCTTAAAAATGTTGCCCTTAGTTAAAACAAAATTAAACTTCATTCATTCCACCAGGTTCAAATACAAACTGATCCTAGTTATATCATGGGTTCTACACACACACACACACACACACATATATATATGCGTGATGTCTTGAAGAGCAGCATCATGCTTCCTCAACAGCCTGTATAAAAGATAAACCAGTTTTTTGCCTCCCCTGTAACATTATATCTCAGTATTCATTTTGCTGGCAAAAACAGCTTTTAATGCAGTGAGAAAGGAAAGAAACAAGAAAAAAAATCTATTCTTCCAGCCCTCTGTTCTATTCCCACCTCTGGTTTGGGGTGGGAATGAAGAAAATGATGGTGGCACTCATAAATGGCTATCCCACTTGAGCAACCACTCAGAATTGAGTCCAGGTGACTTTGGATAGTGTCAAGAATGGAGAGAGGAGTTCTAGTGAAAAGGCTGTGTCCCTCAGAGCAAGATTTTCTTGTTAGATAAGCTACGGCCCTAAATATCCTTATGCGTGCAGAATATTTTTAAATGGCTTTGGTGGTAAGGAAAAGTCTGTGTTGCCATTTAATGTGCTAAGTATAAGTAGGGTCTTTTTTTTTTCTATATTTCAGCATCTGAAATCAAGAGCCATGGATTGAATAAACAGACAGAGAAGCTTCATTAACTTTTTTCAAGCTAATGGGGATAATTTACTGCTTTTGCATTTCCTGGCTAAACCAAAAAAATTAATGTATTGTGAAATGAGAAGTGATGGTGGGGACAGAGTCCTAGTGGGGTGGGAGAGTGCGTGTCTAGAACTTGAGAATTCAAGATTACAGCATGTTGGTTTCACTGGGTGAGTATATATGTTTGTGTGAGATTAAAGTAGCTATGAAATGTAAGGCCGAAGGAGAGGACCCTACAAGACGGCTTTGAGACTGGTGGAGAAAGAAGGGAGAGGCAGAGTAACAGATGTAATTTTATAATGTATTTGAAAATCATAAACTCATGACCTTAGACATGAAGAAAGCTCTCAGAAAATAGAAATGATTTTTATTTCCAAGCTCGATAATGGGAAGTTTCCTTCAGCTCCCAGGCTGGATCATCTCCTGCCCTGACTTTCCTGGAGCTCACTTTCTCTCAATGTCCTTTTTGACTTCAAGGGGTTCTGATCGGATTTAGGAAGTGCACAGGCTGGACCAGCGGGGTATCAACTCTGACTAAATCTGTGGAGAATGTTATATGGAAATTCTGTACTTCTATATTAGGAAGGATAGGCCTATTGCTGGCTTCAGTCAGCTATTAAGGTATTTTTAACTCATCTGTGTTGTCAAGAATAAAGCATCGGTGAACACTTCTTTGTGTTTTTACAAATATCGTGGTTTCGTTGAGTTTGTGCAAAAGCCTACAGGAAGGATGAATCCTGATTACCAGGATCTAGAATGTATTTAAAGGTGCTCATATAGAAATTAAAACTCTCAAAATAATCTGAGCAAGGAGGTTATGATGGAGTAAAGAATCACAAAGGAATAGGAAGATGGTTCCAGGATTTTAATCCCCCTACCCTAGTCCTTATACAAAGGCAGTAACAGGGTGAGTATCCACGATGAAGTATAAATCACTGGGGGTCCGTTTCCAAGTCCTCAGACAACTTACCTCATCCTTAGCTCTAGCTTTTGTTTGACCAGGTGGGAATGCCCAAGAAAAAGCATGTTGAAGACAAAAATTGGGGGGATTATCAGATGCATGGTCCTGAGCATCAGAATATAAGGAAAGACAAACTGCTGAGAATCCTCTGGCATTAGATCCAAACCTTCACAGGCCTGGGTCACAAAACTAGAAGATACTTCTAATGTCCATCATATTACTCCAGTACCAGAGGAACCTAAGGGTGCTACTGTCACATTCTCAGAAGAGGAGAAATTAATTAATCTCTTTGTTGCCTTGTTTGGGTTCAGTCTATAGGACCTCCGTCCACGGGTGAATCTCATATCCTCAGATAAATCAGACCAGCTGTTAGAACAAGTGGCAATAAGACAGGGTGGCTGCCGCAAGGGGTACAACCAATAACATGGGTGGCTAATGGGATTGAGCATTCCTGGGTGACCTAGGCCACACAAGCAGGCCTGTGCTCTTGTGGGGGTGGGGGTGGGAGGACTTAGGTGAGTCCACTGGCAGAGGGAAGTCAATAGCTGAACCAGTAGCCAAAGCCAGCAAGACGTGTCTTTCCTTGGCTCTTTGCCTTTGGAGCAATCATCTCTAGACCTCTGTATATCTTCTTAAATAAAGACACAGCCTGATGATGTTTCTTTAAATGCCTAATATACTCATGGTTGTCACATTCCAATAAACGTGGCCCCAGATGGTTTCTGCGTGATAATCCTGGGTTTATGAGCTGCAGCACTGTTTCAGTGGTGGGTTCTAACGTGTACGTGCAAGTGGAATTGGTGAGAGGATGGCAAAGGCAGGTAACCTTCTAGCTGCTTAATAGAAGTAACTCGCGAAATACAGTGACTCTGATGCGACAAGTGGCTTTTAGCAAGTGGAATTACTTCATTCTGATTCTGCCACAGGTCAGCAGCAGGTTTCAAGGAACCTCTCCAAAAATAGTAATATTGCAGAGATTTTTAATGTCCTTGACACCTCACAGGTAACACTGCCAATTTTTTCTGTGATTCTTTTTGGAATGATAAATTATATTCAGAGAAAAAAGGAAAGATGGCAATAAAATTCTTCTAAAATAATATCCAACTTATGTATAACAAAGAAGTTTGAGGGCATTAACTCAGTTGAACAAGAAAGCAGGTGCGTTTGAAATAGTTCTAAATCAATAATCATATGCAATGAACCTTTATATACGTGAGTTTCTAGTGACTGTAGAAACATCTTGCAAATAGTGCATCATTTAACATTGAGGAAAAAGTGTTCGCTAGAGAATTGCCCACAATTGTACATTAATAACAATAACAACACAAAAATAGGAATTACAGGAGTCAACTCAGTGGATGGTGTGGATTTAAATCTCCCAGATAATATTTTCCAAAACAGATTTTTACAACTACCATTTCCAACTAGTTTAGGCTTTGGCACAAGTGAATCTTTAAGTAGTAGCTTATTTTTGATAATCATCAATTCATCAAAGGTAGCTTTGGAGGTAAGCTCCAATCGTTCTTTTGAGCTGCTTTTATTGTGAACAGTAACATATGGTCCAAATATTCCTATGGCATAATTATGGACCAAAATAAATGTTATCTCATACTTTAGAAGAAGGATGGGAGGTTTACCTTGTGCAAATTATGGTTTGCAAATCATATACATATGTGTGTATATAAATAGCCATTCATGTACTTGGATTTTCCCAGTAGTATCTTTCAATGACATCTTTAGTTCTCACACAATCAAGGACAATTTTCTTGTTAACTGTCAGATAAAACAAGAGGGGAGAATGAGGAGTCTCTCTCAAAGTACAGATAATCAACTGGGAAAAGAATAGACTAAATTCCTCTGTGGAAATTAAGGGGAGACCCACCCAATAGCAAAAGGGCTAAGACTATTTTTCCATATTGTAGTGTCCGTGTATCTGTGTCAAATAGATTTTTCAAGCCCAGGTAATGAGCTCTAGACTCAAAGCAAAGTTGCTTTGAGGAAAAAAAAAAAGTTGCTTTGAGGAATACAAAGACAAGAACCCTATTTTAAGGAGCAACCAGTATCTGTGTTAAAATGAAAAGATGAACTTCAGTGTCTAAAAGACTTGACTTTGATTCTTGCCTTCACCTCTTAGCCACAATGGGAGACTGAGCAGCTGACATTATCTGTCTATGCTTCAGAGTCCTCATTTATAAAACAATTGAGATCTCAAGCACAACTTGCTGAAGCAAAACGTATAAAGTAGGTACCAACGTGCCTGGCAAAGTACAGATGCCCTGCTTCAGTACTTCTCTCAAACAATTTGTACGTTTGCGCCTAATTCCTCATCCTTCTTACTTGACTTTAAAGATCATTTCTTCAGGAAAGCCTCCTTTGATTTCCCAGACTCGATTAGAATCCCCGATTACAGTCTCTTGCAGCACCTGTATATATCTTCTATAATTCTTATCATTTTAATTAATTATGTAATTGGCACTGTAAATTCCATGAGGGCATAGACCGTGCCTTTCATGGGCTCCCAGTGTCTGGTGAGTACAAGTTCTGATTACTGTACATTAGATGCACAAAAAGTAATTACCGGTTATGGTACTTATCAGTCCACATAAAAAATTAACGTGAATAACATTAGCTCTTGATGCTTAAATGGGTGGCATTTCCACTAATTAATTCAAAACATATATGTGTGTGTTTATAATATATATATATATATATTAGATTATAAATACATAAGTTTGTGAATTCAGGCAAGAGGGCTCAGTGAAAGTTGAAGTAGATTGAAAAGGCTTGATGATTTACGTGCACATTAGTCTTAGAAGAAGCCTGGGATTTAGATGGACAGAAAGGAGAGTCAGTCCATTCCAAAGACTGAGTTCACAAAATTTAAATAAATGTCATGCTCTTTCACCGCAACAAAAATCCTGACAAGCCTCAAGCAGACCAAACTCCACCAAGTCTTTGAAAACAACAGTTCAGCCCTCCAGTTCCGGAGTCTTCCTCCCTATTACTGGCTTGGCCATCTTTATTTCTCCAGAGATTAGCAAGTGCTTATAAGGATTCTGCACTAAATATATATTTTATGAATGGATAGAAAAGAAAGAATCAGAGTGCATGGAGCTAAGTTCTTTCCACAGTCTTTACTTCCCTTCTGTTTGCTTGTTTTTTACTCTTTTCATTCTTTAAGGCAAATCCATTCTCGTTCTTTTGGAAATTGTATTCAGAACACTTTTTAAGTCACAGTGAACTGGAAGACAGTGTTTGAGGGACAAGTCAATAACTACAAGTTGTCAAATATATGAGCGTGACCTGTGCAGCTTGGGCTCACACATGTGCAAGGGAGAAGATCCGAAGTACCACGGACTCTTTCAGATAGTTTTGCTAATAAATTTCTAGTGTTATGTGAAGTTGACTCTATTACCTTTGTCCTTCGAAGCTGTAGAAGTCTTCCCGGACTTTTCTTTTCTAATTTCTGCAAGAGGAATCATGGGGAGAAAAGGTTACAAGGAAACACAGAGAAAAAAATAACAACCCCCTCCCGCCCCCCAAAAAATCCTGCAAGTTTCTTCATGTTCTTCTTCTTCTTTTTTTTTTTTTCTTTTTTCCTGAGGCTTAAAGACCCAGAAGGGCTCTTCATTGATATTTAAAATAGACATGTCAAAAAAAAACAAAAAACAAAAAACAGACATGTCTATGCGTGTGTATAACTTGCCTATAAAATGTTAACTAACTATGCAAAAGATACAAAATAAGCCCAGAAACCATTATCACAATTGAAAGACTATGATAGATACACAAAAGGTACAAATAAATTGCTATGGGCTTTGAGGAGAGAAGATACAACAATGGTAGCTAACATTGTCTATTCACTATATGCCATAGGGAATGTTCTCTACTGTTTGGCCATTCAACGTGCATGACAACCTTGTAAGGTACGTAGATCCTGTTATTATTTCTGCTTCTCACAGAAAGAGATTAAATAACTTTTCCAAGGTCATGTGGCTCAGACAGGAGACCTGAGATTTGAACTGATACCTCCCTGAACCCAACCACAAAGGCTCTGGCTGAATGGTGGAATCAGGAAAGGCTTTGGCAGGTGGTACTGAGGCAGACCTTGAAAATGGAAAGGATTCAGAGAGACGTAGGTGAAATAGAGAGAAAGACATTTAAGAAGGACAGGAGAGAGTATGGGGAGGCTTGAGCTGCTCATCTTTGAATATGGCTGTGTGAGTCCCCTGTAACCAACAGAATGCAATGGAAGCTATGCTGTGTGACTTCCTGCACTAATCAGAGCCATACAATTCCTACCTGCTTCTCCAGGGCAACAGCTCTGAAGAAGCTGACAGCCCTCCCTGAAGGACTCCAGCTAATACCACCATGCTAGAAAAGCTACATGGGGGCAGCTCAGTCAATAGCTCCAGCTGAGCCTCCAGCCAACAGCTGCCCGCCATCTAAGTGAGCGAGACATATCAGACATCCAGGAGATGATTGCATTAGATGACTACAGCCTAAGCCGATATTTGACTGCAGTCACATGAGGTACCCAAGTAAGAACTGCCTAGTTGATCCTTCCTAAATTCCTGACCCTCTAAATCCTGAGCACAGTAAAATTGGCTGTGTAAAATCTACCACTGTGTTTCAGAGTGGTCTGCACACAGAAACAGCATTTGAATCCATCGGCTAAAATAAACAGGATATTGCAGCATGTGATAAGATCTCCAGTGGAGTTCTATAGACAACAGAGAAATGATTAATAGCTCCATTATATAATTGGGAAAGTTTTCACTGAGAAGACACCACTTGGGTTTAGGCTCCTAAGTAGAGTAGAATCTCATTGGTCAGTAAACATCAATTTAACAGCATAACTGCATGTAGTAGGTAAAACAGATTTTAAAAATGCTGAGGATAGCTTCTGAGGTTTGTACATGTTTTACAGAGGGCCAATCTGCCATCTACTGAGATATGAAGTGTAAGAAATAGGAGTCTTTGGAGAAAGGTATCATCTTTGTTTTGAATGCATTACGTTTCATGTGTCATCAAGATACCCCAAAAGGAAAGGTCTAGCAAATAGTTGGAAATACAGGTGAAGTCCAGATTATATGAAAGTGCTGCAGAAGCAAAGCAACCTGCAGTCTCATTTATAAATGGAAACTAACAATGCAACGAGTAACATGAATTTTGAATGCCTCAAATTTTATTTACTTTGTTCACACACTGACTTAACTTAGTGAATAAACTAAGTATACAAAGGCAAAATAAACCAGAATATAAAAAAATATGTTCTTAATAATACATGCACATTTTTAAAAATGTTAAAAGACTGATAGGTATTATTTGTGTATTTCCAATCCAGTCTTATGTAATTTGTCTATATTGAAATATCATTCACATGTTGATAGTAATAAACTTAACCTTTTAAATGTTTATTAGTTATTGCCAGATGTTTTAAACTCACACAGCAATCAAAATAGCAATGCAAATCAAGTTTTAAATAATTTACTAGATAAAAAATATTCGTTTTAAGAGAAACATATTTGATTTCAATAAGGCCAGGATTTTTTTTTAAGATTTATTTATTTATAAGAGAGAGAGAGCACAAGTGGGGGGAGCAGAGGGCGAGGGAGAGAGATTGTCAAGCAGACTCCACGCCAAGCACAGAGCCTGATCTCACAACCCTGAGATCATGACCTGAGCAGAAAATAAGATTTTGTTAGATCCTTAACTGACTGAGCAACCCAGGTACCCTAGGCCTGGAATTTTTGTAAGTAAAGGGCCTGAATATATCTAATTAAGGTAAACAAATAGAAAATAGCATTTGCTTTTGCTTCTTACATGGTCCTATAGAAGATAAAATGTATCTGTAAGAACAGTGTTTTCTTCTAGAAGATTTTTTTTCCCCCATGAAACAGGCAAAACAAAAGACTGAAATAATGGACTATCCTGTAATGGAGGAAATCAGCACTAGAGTTTTTCCCTAGCACAAACAAATGTTTTGAACCCCAAGCATTATGTTTAAAGTAAATAGCACAATTAATATCTTTGGGATGCCTGGGAGGCTCAGTGGTTGAGCATGTCTACCTTTGGCTCAGGCCATGGTCCTAGAGTCATGGGATTGAGTCTCTCTTTAGGCTCCCTGAATGGAGCCTGCTTCTCCCTCTGCCTGTGTCACTGCCTCTCTCTGTGTGTCTCTCATAAATAAATAAATAAAATATATTTTTAAAAAATCTTTGATCTGACTACAGTTTATATTTCATTGCTCTGAATGATCAAGTTCAATATCAGTTTATTATCAGTGACATTAGAATATTAAGGATGTTTCTGTTGGAGCACCATGGTTTGATGTAATATGAAGTATAGCTAAATTTTAAGAAGAAACTGAAACTGGAAGGTCTAAAAAGAGCCTCACATTATCAGGCAATTTAAGCCTCCTGGCTGTGAAAAGAACCAAACTCAGTATTTTTAACCTTTCTTAACAAGCTAGCTTTAATAAAGTGTTTAGAAATGTCATTTTAAAAACTTTCTTATCTCTTTTGCAGATACAAGATGTCTGCTGATTAGAGATATTTTTTCATAAGCATAATGAATAAGATCAATGTATCAAACTTTCTGGACTTTTCTTCTGATGGAAAGGATAATTTTAAAGAACCATATGGAGAGCTCTATGTATAAGTTTAATAATACTGGATAATTTCCTGGATATGACTATTAATGGACATCACATAGCATCAAAAATATTAATCTTGTTCCATAACATTTCTATTGCTTCCTAAAATGATTTAATTGTGATTAATTGCATGGATTTTTAAAATATTTAACATATGAATGCTCTATGCGAACCTGCCATTTTTTGTTCATTCGGATATAATTTTTGACAATCAGAGATATTTGAGAAAAGGCATTTTATATAATTTATATCTTTTCCAAACTCCAAAATATAAATTTTATAAATCAATACAGAGAAAAGCCTTCTCAAGTCCTCTATATGGTTTAAAATACTGTGCTTATAATTCCCATGAAGGAAAATATAATATATTGATGTTTATTTAATAATAATTTTGAATGTTCCTTAAAAGATGTTGTCAGAGTTTAATTTTACTGGGACACTGTCCATTAACTTTGTAATTAAGTATGACTTAGTTGGAAGCTATCTTTTACTTTCTCTTTGTCCTAATGATACATTTAATCATTCCCTACTCTATGGGCTAAAACACTTCACACACATAATCGTAACATTTTAAACTGTTTTTCTTCAAATATCTGTTTAAATATCCTTAATTAAAAATGTTTCCAGTTCAATTATATTTACATGTTGGTGTCTCTTTTGTTTTAACCTTAGAACCTTCATTGCATTTTTTTTGTCTTAGCCTTTACATATTATTCAAAAAGAATATACTTTTATACACATATTATCACCTACCCCTAATTATCATTACCCCGGGCAGCCTAATTAAAAAGCATAATATAAAATTTGCTTGAATGACATCTGGACAATGCTGTCAGGGCTTGGAGACTATGGTGAGGTATTCCTCAAGATATTGTAGATAAGGACAATTAGACTGTTCTTTGAAAGTTAAGTTATATAATCAATACAAAGTGGGAAGAGTTAGTGGGTGAGCTCAGAAAGCATCAACTATCTAGACTATAAATACACCTGTGAAGAGCTTCCTTGCATTGCTTAAGCACTGTGGAGATCTAGGCAAGCTGGGATCTTTGGCATATTAAAACTTTGAAATAGAGCACATAAGAATTCAAAAGAGCTAACAGATACAGAACTTGTTAAGTACGCATCTTGCAATCCACATGGGGGAGAAAGTCTTGTCCAATGGATTCAGTATTCTAATCCTTCTGAAAAGTTCTTCCCCATAATAGTATAGTTTTCAAATTATCATAGTTCAGGGACTTTCCTGAAATCATCTAAATATCCCTTTCTTTTAAATTCTGGCTCAACTTACAGTTATGATGATTTTAGACTATGTAGCTTGGCTGCAGAGAGTGGACTCTTTGCACATGCCTTTATATTCTGGTCCTCATTAAACATTAATAACCAGAAGACTGGGACGCCTGGGTGGCTTCTTAGTTGCTTAAGTGTCTGCCTTGAGCTCAAGTCATGATCCCGGGGTCCTAGGATCCAGTCCTGCATTGGGCTCCCTGCTCAGTGGGGAGTCTGGTTCTCCCTCTGGCTCTCCCCTGGCTCATCCCCTCTGTCTCTCTCTCACCCTCTCTCAAATAAATGAATAAATAAAATCCTTAAAAAAATAATCAGAATACTGATTGGAATTCTGGAGAGTACCTCAGTGTGGTGCATTTTAGTCATTTTAGTTCAACTCTGCCCAGCTCTTTCAGAAAGATCAGCAATATGCAATGATTTTAAAAAAGGAAAATAAGCACTTCTTTATATATTTGGGAGACGAGATAAACTAGGACATCATAGGCACAGAATTAGCTACCGAGCCCTAAATCTAGTATAAAAGA